ACATTATATAATACACATATGTGAACTGAGGGTTAGAAATTAATACCAAGTCCCTGTGCATGTAAATAATAATGGTGGCCCCCAGTAACAAGTTGCCTTGTCGACTATGTCATGATTTATGTAAAACAACAAAGGAGGACAATACTTAAAGAAACATTTTCTGTATTTGATCAGTTGGTAGAGATAATTGGCCATATTCTAACTGTAAAGATAACCAAGGGAAATACATAGGCGACCAGTGCTGAAATAAACTTGAAAGTTTAAAGTTTTGCTAGTAAAGTGTCTCTGCTAGGTGGCAGGGGAGGGAAATTAAACACAAGGCTAAATCCGCCAAGGTTGAATAGTACAAATTTAAATTATGAACCCTTGGCTATTGAAGATGGTGAGATAACGAGGTTAGATCGTAAAATAAGATGTGTCTTCAGCAGTATGCTCCAGTGAAATGACACTATAAAGTCAGCATCAGTCCTGCGCTATCACAAGGAGACAAACTGATGAACATACCACAGACTCCCAAAACACAAATTAATTATGCATGAACTCACCACACGCATGCATCTAGCATATGGGGAGGCCGTCTTTAAATGACCATGTATAGCTGTTGATAGGACATACATTAAACAATACTAAATCAAACCTGAAGTTTATTTTGACATAAAGATCTTATTTATTTGGATAATTTCATGGAAATGATGACTTGTAATTTTAAACANTTGATTTAAACATATTTCTATTTGCATCTAATATACAAAAGGGATCGGGCACAAGTTGTCCAACTTATGTAAAGCCCTTTCCCTATAACATAATGAAATATATATTTACAAGACGGCAATTTTTAAATTAATTAATATTTTCAATTAAGTTTAGTGTTACTGACAGAGAGAGAGAGAGAGTGAGAGGGGGGGGGAGGGGGGGAGGTCATAGCTTGAAGATATTTAATTTGAGATCGTGGTAGTGATCTTCTCCGACACAGACGGCACCAGTAACACTGTCCACTATTCAAAACACTCTGCTTCTAATGTTCCTCATGATCACTTCCTGTGCCTCTGTTGCCTTCTCCTTGTAAATTCGATTCCTTCTGGTATTTTCGTTTCACTAGACAATACAATACTGTGGTATAACTGTATATATATTGTGTACATAGTTTAAGCGTCTGCGAGACCAGCTGTTCTAACTTACAAATGTCCAGGTGACGAGAAATAACATGAGAGGAATGTTTTTATTTTTGACACGAGCTGTAGGCAATTCACTTTTCAATTCGTACTATTCTTCTCTTTGGATAATGACGCTTTAACTTGTAAGCGAAAAATACATCACTGGCGTCACGAGCAGCATCAATACTAAAAATGTCTTTTAATATTAACGGCTACCAAACCTGTGCTCCAGGTTACAAATAAATGCTATGTCCCAATCACCTGCCCTCTGGACTGGTTTTTAAGTAAGTTGTTTTAGTGCCAAATTTTGTACAGCATGATTATTTAGCCTCTTTATCTTAATCCTTCCAACGTAGGTATCTTGTGATAAAATTTGTTGTTTGCCTTTACACTGTTACAATGTTTTACCATTTATATATATATATACAT